ACAATACTCAGCTACCACTGCTACCACGTGCCACAAGTGCGTCGGCACAGGCCGAGCGAGCACGATTTCGCATTTGTGGGTTGCCTCTGCGGGGATTGGGATTAGGGAGATGTCTGATCCCAAAACACCGGCAACAGGGAGGCATGCTGGACCACTACGCAGAAGTGGGCGGACGTGCAACTGTTAGCACCAATGCTTGCAGGTTCTTGGAACAAGCTCCATTGGCTTATATCGTGCGAACTTTCGGTTTCGATTGGCGAGGCGGAAGGGGACAACAAATTCGACAAAAGTGATTGGTGCTTCCACGGTCCCAGCCAAATCAACGTGCATCCGAGTTGAAGCTTTGCAGCCGCTGCAGGCAGGAAGTCCCTCTTCCAAACCGCAAGTGCGCGAGCTCACTCGAACGGTGCAGGCTGGATGGACATCTGCATGCATCTTGAAGCACCTCGAAGTCAATGTTCCTTCTGTGTTCGTTGCTCAGCTGCTGCTACGATGCACATGCGCAGCATGTCGATGGGAACAAGCTTTTCCGTGCGAACCGTGGCACCTGTCGCCATCACGCGTTTTGGCAGTTTTTTCCTGGTGCGAGCCGCCACGTGCTCCTGCAAACACCGAGGTGCCCTGGTTCGACCAACCAGCGTTCGACCAACCAGCCATGGCAACACACATGCTGTGCACAAGGCGCACGTGTCATGCACATGCAAGTGAAGCAGCGCCCACGCAGACCAACATCTTACGATCAAGCGACCCATCGAGATAGCATACTTGGTGCATGTTGCTGGTCATCGAGACGAGTTTCGCGAGTATGTAAGATATGTGAAACTGCCCAACATGTCATAATTGTGTTGCATTAGCGGGCCTGCTATGGAGATCATGCACGGCACTCAGGAGCGGCAGATGTGCCATCGACGAGGAAACAAAAGTCGAGCAGGCATCAAAGCACCATCGCAGATTCATGCGAACTTTGGCTGGACCGTTCCGGAGGCCTCTGACGGCTCTGAGTGATTCACTTGAAAGAGCCGTGATCGTGCGGGAAGCCAACATAGCGGCCCGTCTCAGCCCGAACAACCCTCCAGCAAGATCAAGCCGGGGATGACTACCTGGTGGGAGGTCTTCACAAAAAACGAGAGGCGGCTGAGGCTGGCAATAGCTCCACATGGCAAAACATTCTTGGTGGACACGGAGCAGCACACATCGTAGATGCCGCGAGCAGCTGGCTTCGTGATGCATGCGCGTCCAGGTTTGCCAGCACAGGGTGGCTGAAAGCAAAGACTCTCTCAACAATACAAGCTGTGGCTACTGCTACGGTCCACGGAGCTCTGTTAAGCTGATTCAAGCTGCAGCATTTGCAAGCTACTGGTACTTCAAGCTGGCCCGATCAGCATCATGCTTTCGCCTTCCTGCCATGTGCCGGACGGAGCTACCATCAGCTCACTGCTAGCTGCATGCTTTCAGGAGGCGCCGGGCACCTCCGGCACTACCATGGCCGCTGCACATGAAAGATTGCAGCTGAATCCGGGCCGTGCCATGTGATTGCTACAGTCCAGCTTTATGTAGGGGTGCATGTCAAAGTGTCAGGGCTAGATCAAGATGGCCCAAGCAGCAGCATGGCTGAGACTGAGCTTTGGAGGCCTGGAAAAAGAAGAACGACTCACAGGCCCATTCCTCTAATACTCCCAGGCGGATACAGCATTCCGGACCTACCAAGAGCTGCCATCATGCTTGCCAAAACCAATGAATATCTCGCTAGCAGGTGCCAGCTGAGGCTACGCGCCAAGTGTATCTGAGACGACGGCTCGAGCAAAGCACGCGCGACTTTGCATCTGTGGGCTGCCGCTGCAGGCATTAAGGTTGGGGCGGGCGTGGCAGCTGTGCCGATGGACCAACAATCTTCGAAAGAACTGGCAATCGGCACGGCTGGACCGCTACCCAGAAGTGGGCCGCCGCGACCGGTCTCGCTATGGAACAGCTGCGGACGCAATGTCTAGCTTCTAACGTGAATCAAGATCCCAAGTGTTTCATATCAAGTTCCTGCCTAGTTTGAGCCTGAGACTTCGCATCTCCCGCTCTTGGGTCAATGACAAGCTGCCTTCATGTCGAAGGCTCGGTACTTGCCTCCCCCCTACCGCTCGAAAGAGCAGAACGCGAAGTTGCACGGAGCACTGCCGGACTTTAGGGTTCAGGGGGTTGAAAGGTTTAGGGCCAGGGAACTCAGGGGCCCGGCCCCAAGCTCGCAACAAGTGCGCCGTGGCCTCGCTTTTTTGGCATGCGAAGATGTCACCACCACCAAGCCGGGGTGAGCCAAGCTTCCTCACTTCGGTCAGCTTGGCAGCCTGAACAGCGCGGTTGGGACACGGACACGGCCCGGAATCCCCTCCCGGAATCCCTGGCTTCGAGTGGCGCTCCCGGGGTCCACGGCTATTGTTTGGCATGCTGTGTATCACGACTAAATGAACATGCTGCAGATCTGCAAGGCTTCTCGTGCTATCACGGAAACACTTTTGTCGTCAAGGTCGTCGTCGCTGTCGTGGGCTTCATCTTCAACTCGGTCGTCCTTGCTCTGTGTGCGTGTCCTTGCTCTGTTTCCGTGTCTCTGTCTTCTTAAGTCCCATGACTTTACACACACACACACAAACATCTCTCTCTCTCCCTCTCACTCTCTTGCTGTGAAAATATTGCTCTTGCTTGGTTCTGTAGCATCGGCATCGTCGCAGCAGCAGCAGCAGCAGCGGCAGGGAGCAAGAGTAAGAGTAAGACTAGGATGAGAACCAGGAGTGATTTATGGTTTTTACGTTGTTGTTGCCCGTGATAGAACGATGAATATGATGGCCAATCGCCATGGCTATACTGACTTCGGTGCTGATGATGGCTTTGACCGTAGGCGTTGTGGTCTGTCATCACCATCATCAGCTTCATCATCACGACCCCATGTACTTCCACTACAAGACTCGCAGCATTTGCCATAGTCTTGCTTCAGGACTCGAAGACTGCAGACGGTCAACGAACTCTAAGCCTTCGGACTGCTGGCACATCCTTGTTGAAATTACGGCCTCGTCTCGTGCCTCGACGGACCACCGAAAGCCAATCCTGTCGGAGACAAGGCGATGCTGGAAATACTGCTGCTAGCCACTAGAAAACTGTTCGCATCATAACGGTCACGAAATTTGTGTGTGTGTGTGCGCATCAAGTAGAGGTAGAAAGAGAGACAGAGAGAGAAAGAGAGAGAGAGAGAGAGAGAGAGAGAGCGAGGGAGGGAGGGAGGGAGGGAGGGAGAGAGACAGAGAGAGAGAGAGAGAGAGGGATAGAGAGAGAGAGAGAGAGATCAAAAGAGAGCGAGAGAGATCAAACAACGCGAGGACAGAAGAGAGTGAGAACGAAAGAGAGCGAGGAAAGAGAAAACGAGAGAGAGAGAGAGAGAGAGAGGGAGCGAGCAAGAACGAAAGCGACGCGAGGGCGAGAGCGAGATCTGTGAATGTGTGTGTGTGTGTGTGTGTGTCTGTATGCTTGTGAAATATACGAGTAAGTAGGTGTTGACTTATCATCAAATATGCATTGTATGCTTCTAGTATATGCGTGCGTGAACATACGAAGACCCAGGACTCAGGGTGCAAGCAGCTTTTCTGAGAGTGCATAATTACTCCAGCAGCCTATTTCCGTTGTCCGAGCCAACCCTTACGGCAAATGCCCCGACTGTCTCGCTTGCTCCCTAAGACTCTAAGAGAGACGCAAGTAGGGCACATGACAACACGTCAGCACATACTGTACCACGATTCAAAACAGGCTTCCGACTCATCCGGCCTGCATGTCAGATTTCCGCCACGATGATGGGATCCTGGGGTCCACTGTGGGATTCGTGAAGCCCAGCATGAAACATCCGTGGCCGTTCATTCGCTGTGCGTTTAGAGTTTCTGGCCTCACGTGTACGACTCATGAATTTGGGTTGACAGCTTCGCAAGATTTTCTTAGTCTCGCACACCTTCTTGCGTTGCTAAACAAACTTCAAGCTTCAGCAGAGTCCGAAAAGAGCGGCCACATGATTCAATGGAAGACTGCTTGCACAGTACAAAAGATAGGAGAAACCTGTCAACCCTATAACCCAAGACCCTGAAAGCCCAACTCAGAATAAGCCATGGATCTCTGATTGCTAACGGCATGTCTTTTCTCGCGACATCCGGCCCCTGCACTCCCAGGAGCTGGGGGGAACCGATGTCACAGAGCCAATGCTGCGATCGTGAAGTGTAAAGACCAAGGCCCACGATATCCCCGACGATGACTTTACTCGGGGGCTTCTGTCATCCCGTAATTGTTTCTGGGGGCTTGTGCCTGACGATTTCTGGGGTTGGCAGCGTAGCTCAAACCCCAACTTGCATCATACCGACAACTTGGAAAGATTGCCAGGACCCGCTTCGCACGCTTCAAACAGGGCTAAACTGAATGGAAGCCATGTAAGGTCTAGCCGGTAGGTGGTGGCTAGGTACAATCGTGTGAACTCAAGTCGGATGGCTAGATATGGCAAGTATACACAGACTCTTGCGGCAGGGGGCATGAGTTCAGCAATGTGACCTGGAGGTTTGCCTTCCCGCCACTCGGTCAATCTGCTGCCGGGTGGTGAAACTCTGTTGCTCTATCTACAGCGAGCATCCCATGTTTTCCGTCGGGCCACTCTAAACCCTAGGCCCTAGGCCCTAGACCCTAAACCCTTAAATTCACTGCGAATTGAAAGCTTCGGATCCGGCAATGGGATGCTCGCGCCTGGTGAAACAGGAGCCGTGAGAGGTAACCCCTCCAGCAAAGAGCCACGTGCAATTAATGGTTGTAGGGCTTCGGGTTAAGCGCGGGGGCCGTGAATTCTGGTTCAGGTAGCCAAGTTTCATGCGAGGGGTTTGCTATCCCCCAAGCCGCTGCAAGAAGACTTCAACTACATGGCATACAATCCAAATCCAATCATGTCCTAAACACCGCAAATGTGATATCATCACTGTCAAGATTCTTGCAAACTACTACTGCGTCTGCGTGATGCACCTCAGCAGTTCGCAGCCCCACCGCTGGACGTCAAGGTTCCTGGCCTTGTTGATCACCTCATTGCTTTGGCTTGGGTGTTGGATTCTCAGATTATCAGGTTCAAGGTGCTTCAGGTGCTTAATTCATTTCCTGGGTTCGCATCTCGCTTCCGGGTCGTGTCGACAGAAAAACGGGCCTAGGATTCTAAACTGCACTGCATACACACGTTTTCTGCGCTGAACCTCTCAATAGTGGCTTGGCCACCTTGAAAGAAGTCTAAGTGTACCACCAACCACCAACGACTTCAAGCCCCTTAGAAATCCTCCAGATTAAACAACCGGGTAAGAGCACTAATGAAACAGATAATGAAACCTACCAAAAAAAGTGCATGCGCAGAGCTCTAGCAGACATAGAGAAACCTATTAACGCCCTCTGCAAGAGCCGCAACGACGCAGGGTTTCTTGTCTCGACTCTCAGACATTCAAGATGTTTGGTCGGCTCGTCAATTCGTTTCTAAGGATTTTTTCAGGGATTGGCTTTACGGTTTAGGATCAACGATATGACAAGGGTTTCTTGGAAGGTTCTCCAAGGGCTTCGAGGGCTTCAGGGCTAATAATGGTCTGAGAAGGTTTCAGAAAGATGTAGACTGCCTTTAAGAGAGTGCGTACACTGGTTTTGGAAGGATTTGACAAAGATTCGCAAGGTTTCGAATGTTAAAAGCTTTCTTGAGGGCCTTGGGTTCAGGGTTAGGGTTCTTGGGCTTGGCGAAGCCTGTGAAACTTAGACTGTTTAGGGTGTTTGGGCTGGACCTTTCTGGGATCTGTTGAATCTCAGGAGCCGGTATAGCTTGCAATGCTTTGTCGTGTAAACCCCGACCCCTGGATTCTGTCTGTTGCTCAAAGGGAGCACTTCAAACTCATGCACCTGTGACGCTGGGGCCGGGGCTTTAAATCATGGGCAGTAGACTTTCAGCTCTGTTTAAGGCTTACGGGCTTAGTGAGTGCCCTGGGCATCATGGCTGGATACCTGCTGCACCCACTTATGAAATAGGCAGGGCTCAGCGGGTACATACATGCTTATTCATTCGTAGCCAGCATGCTCAATGACAAAGGCCCCATGAGTCACAGCGAACGACACCATCAACAACAAGGAATAAAACACTACATAGTCGAAGAGCACATCAATGTACATAACCAGGCACGAGCTGCTGAAGAGCTTTATATATGGCATGCATTAATGGCAATAACGAAATATGTGCAGTAGTGTCTGGTTGGTGATGTTGCTCCTTGAGCTAAAACCGATCTGTTGGCAAAACCAACGAAAGAAAATCTGCGACGACCTAGTCGTAGCAAGGACACAGTTAGCTTACTACAGTATCAACCTGGCCTGGCTTGTGAAGCATGAATGCCAGTTCCAATCGTCGTCACTGTAGTTGCATGCCCTCGTGCTGGGGTCATCGTGCGCAGTTGAACTTCCTGAAACCGTAAACTTCACCTCAACCCTCAACCCTAACCCTGAACCCCGGACTCAAAACCCTAACCCTTTTTGCTACTGGACGCAAGTCTAGCCAGTCTACGACTTGCAATCATCTTCCTAAACCATAAACCCTCAACCGTAAAACATAAGCCCTAAACCCTAAACCTTGCACCCTAACCCTAGACCGTACCTTTGCCGGCCTTCTTGGCCACGCTCACCGCACCCGCTTTCTGCACGTGCCGGCGAAGCTTGGCATCATCGCAGAACCTTTGGATAGGGTGACCCCAAAACCTCACAACCCCAAAACCGTAAACACGCCAAACCCAAAACCCAAAGTTCGAGCCAAATCCCAAGCCCCAAAAAATCCAGGCCCAAAACCGCCTAAACCCTCCAAGCCTGGCAAGCAGGGCGATCTCTGCCAGACTGTCGGTATGATACCAGGTGCGACAAGCAAGTGAAGCCCGGTTCAGATAAGGATCTTGCATTTGCGGTTTACAGCTTAGGCTTTGGCTTGACGCTCTAGAGTTTCTAGTTTGGGATCAGGGTTTCAGGGAATACCTGGTATATAGGGCCATCTCTGTTTCCTAAGCCGCGACCCCTACACCTCGAAGCCCAAAGCCGAAAAACTTCTACACCCTGAGCCCATCCAGCCCTCAACCCCACCTGAACCCCGACTAACCTACTTGTTTTGAGGGTTCATAATAAAGACATCATGGCAAAGGAACCCTTAACAGGTCGGTGTTAGAGGGTTCGAGAAGCTTTGCGGTTAATTTGGGCTCTGGGGCTTCAGGGCTTTTGTTTTTAAATCTCGACTAAATATATATATATATATATATATATATATATATATATATACATATACATAATTGTTTTTTTTTGGGGGGGGGACTCCTTTGTCCAGCAAATCACCTCTATTCAGATGGTTAGAGCCTCAAGGCTAGATATCCAAGCTCCTCAGATCTATTGGGGCTTCGAAAGTTTAGGGTTAGGGCTTATTGCTTAGGGCTTCAGAGTTTTCGGCTTTACGGATTCAGAACTCTAACGCTAGATGCTGAAGCTCTCCAGATTGATTTTTGAGGTTTTAGGATTCTGGGATCTGTCACCACCGAACCTGGATCCCAGACTCTCCTGAAGATACAAAACTCATCAGACCTTGAAACTGAGCAGGTTCGATTTTCCGGGAACCACGGCACACTCTCAACTAGTAAAGCTCACAGGCATTGCTCCCAAACGGGTGGATGTCAAAATTCTGGTCCCTTTTTGGGTACCCTAAATATTAGGTTCCGTTTTATAATAAGGACCCCAAAAGATTCATAGACGCTGTAAGCGCGTCGTGGCTTGTGATGCTTCTGTGATTGCATCTTGGCGCACCGCGCTCACTGAGCTGGTGAATGACTTGACTGTTGTTCTTGACAAATTCTAGGTTCTTGTTTGTTTCCATTCATGTTTCACGTGCACCAATGAGTGCTTCATGCAAACGACCGACTGATGTCCGTTAATAATAATAATAAGGACCCCAAAAGGGACCCTTATTTTGATAGCCATCCAAATGAAGCTCCCTCAGAGCCCTAAACACTCGCCAGCCCGGAACCCTTGAGCCCCTCTTGACACCATAGAGGGTTTAGGGCTTCGGGGTTTAGGGTACCGCCAAAGGCTACCCTAAACCCTTTTGCTGCAGGCTTGCTTGCAAGGACGCCTGGTAGTTTGCCGCTCTTCCGCCAGGTGCTCCTAAACCGTAAACCCTGAACCCTAAACCCCTAAACCCTGAACCCTAAACTCTAAATGGCCACCAAGGGGCATGCAAAGGATGATGCATCCGAGCTCGATGTTGCGACCCTCCGTTTCTCCGAACCCAGCGCCTCAGCAGTCTGTTGCCGGGCTTGGAGCGCTTAACATAGGACGCCTTGATAACTAGAATAGGCTTCCTTTAAAGGGGTCCCTTCAAAGGGCTACTGTAAGGGATCTATAAGGGTACTATAGTATGGGGGGCCTTAATAATCAGAATCGGGTTGTGGGGCCCATGATACTATAATTGTAACAAGGAGCCCCCGAAATGGTATTGGCAACTCTTTCGTAAATCTTCGCACAGGTTTGCAGAGAACAAACAACTGGCAGTACAAAATCAGACAAGATCAATATAATCCCTGTTTCCGGCGACGTGTTCCCCGAACTCACTGTAGTTGTTAAGGCCCTCGTGTTATCAATATAGACGCCTCACCTCGTAGGCGTGTTTGGATTGAGAAAAGTTGCCCACGAGGCTACCTAACTAGCCCTCAGGACTTAGAGCTAGAGCAAGCCTTCAGGTTTTAGGGCATAATCGGGATGCGCAAGGTTCTAAACTTTAAGGCTAAAGTCCATAAAGAGAAGCTCAGCGCTTCCGTCGGCCTTTGTTCCACCTATGAAACCCTGAGTTCATAGCAGCAGCCTCCCAAACCGTGAAATCCTGAACCCTGAACCATTCAACCCTTCCTGCAACCCTGAACCCTATCCCTAACCCCTATAACCCTATAACCCTAAATCCTAGGCCCCAAGCCCTAAAGTAGGAGGCCCTCTTGAGAGCCAGGGGGCATTTCATAGCCCCCAGGATAGCTTCGATCGCGCCTCTGCCGAAGGCTTGCCATGTCGGGTTTGGGCTTAATAAAGGGGCCTTAACAATTAGACGCTACTATAAGGGATCTATAAGGGTGGCCTTAATAATTAGAATAGGGGCTTGGGGCCCATTATTATACTAAGGAACCCCAAAAATCATATAGGTAAGTCTTCAGGTCCCTACATTTTTTGATGCTCCCACTCGGCAATACCAGGCGAGGTCTGAAGAGAGACTGAAGTTGAATGGTCCCGTGAAGCTTTACAACGGCTGTAGCTAGTAGCAAACCCAAGGCTGTCACTTCCAGGTCTTACGTAGGCCCCTATATTAGGGCTCGGCTTTGCTCGTCCTCATGTTTGCGGGTTTGGGGCCGGGTTTGAAAAATGTTTTGGAGTCGGACAAAGGAACCTCACAACACCGCCTAAATGAAGCTTCATGGCCAGTTGACGGCGAGGCTTAAGTACTGCAACTGTGGCACCATTTCATTCGCAAAACTGGAGATACTTGCCTCGTCATGTCCCAAATATCAGTGGGGTGCTGCATGCTGTGCCATGTCCGCGAAGTTGGAAGACTGTCAACACATCGACGAGTATAGGGCCTCCGTAATTAGAATAGCCCCATTGCGCTTTCTAATTACAACAAGGAAACCCTCAAAATAGAAAAAGCAATGGTGAAGGCGCCTTTTAGTTCCATCATGCTTTGCATATCTGGAAAGCGCATACTTCGATCTGCACGGCAGGGCTTTACATGCTGCTAACATCGCCGAGGTGTCGGACCCGGAGCCCTGCCTTGTTGAGGATCCTAACCGAAACTAAACTAGAGTTCGCATAGTACAGCATGATATCAAAGCATAGTCAAAACTCCTAAAGCCCAGAACTCTAGCGCAAAAAGGTGCTCAACAAGACAGAGGTTGCGAAGAAATCGGCCCAAAAGCTTTGCAAACATATTATCGCTGCACAGACTACTTATAAGACTCTCATGGTTAGAGCAGGGCTTCTATGGAGTTTCTAAAAGGGGTCGCGTGCTGTAGCAGTGGGTGACTCAATTTCAGTGACATAAACAAATTAAAGCTAATCTTGACTTTAAACTTGAAGCGGTGAACACGACCTACAGTGAGCAAGCCGTGGCCTGCACGACACCTATCTCGAAATATTTCAAGCCTGACAGGAACAAAGTGAACTCCCAAGCGCAGTAAAGAAAGTCCCAAACTCAAATCCAAAACTACAAAACCCCAAACTCTAAAGCGCCCAAACCTCAAAGATCCCCAAAGCCCCAAACTCCTAAAAGTCCAGAGACCCCAACAACGGATGCCAGGCCTAGCCGCGTCGCGACAGAGGCCCGGCCGAGCGTGTCACACAGGCTGGTAAGGGCAGAGATGCCCTGATCCTGCAGCTCTTGGTCCTGGCAACCCCAGAAGCCATATATAGGGGCCTAAATGATGAGGCAATGCATGCAGGGTAGACTGCCAATGATATATGTAAACTCAAAGAGCTCTAAGAAATAGCACGCTCCTACCTCGGACCCAAAAGTACGTGGAACAATAGCCTTTATCAAAGTGTCGGGCTATTACTTTTAGTTACTTTTGGGGGTTTAGGTCAGGCCGAAACCCTGCGGGCACCGTATAGTGTAACACAAAGGGAACAATAAGGGGATACTGCCAACAAGTACTCTGCGGCTCTTGATCCTGGCACATGTTCAAACCTACACCTAATTAAATGACCTGCCCTTTTGTTGGGTTCCTTCTTATGGGTTCCTTTTTGATCCTGCATCCCGTCGTCCTTGCAACTCCTAAACCAAGACCTTGCCACCTGCAACTCCTAAAACCAAGAGCATAAAGCATGTAGGGTTTGATCGTGCATCCTGACACATTTTTAGCCCCAAACCCTACCTGAACCCTGAATCGCATACCTTTGTGGCTCCTTATCTTGATTATCTCATGCAGGTTGTTGAAAAAGCAGGCTTCTCTAAGGCTCACGTGAACCCTAATTGAGCATTTGGGGCTCTTCTTCTTAGAAGGACCAGCAGACCAGCCATAGGTTGACATGAGACAGTCTCAGTAGCTCTGCTAAACTCCAAAACTACCCAGCAAACCACACTGACCTTCTGGAGAAGGCTCTCTTAAGAAAGCTCAGTCCACTGACCTTCTTGGTGATGACTGCCCTAAACCCTTTTTGTCACTCGTGCTCGACAAGTACCCAAAACCCTGTAGACTCTACCCCTGACAAGCGCTCTTCTGACTCCGGACTTCCGGTCTTCACGTTCGAGAAAGTTATATAGGGGCCTTAATAATTACCTATCCTGTTTTGGGGGGACCCTATTATGACTATGGTATAATATGCCCCTATATTTATCCCGAATTTGGGATGAGCTCCTTAACGCCATGTCACGAAAAGCGCTCTGTGCGAGTGGCAATTTAAAGAAGGAGAAATCACTTCAAGGGGGGTAACTGGCATTAGGGTCTGATGGTGAAACGGGCGTGTCAAAATAATCCATCCACTCCAATTTCGAGCCAGGCACGAAAATGCTGCATGGCATGGCCTCGATTTGTCAGCAAAGATGCCTGGGTCGAGCAAGACGGTCTTAGATCGACCGCACGCCACCTGTGTCACTCCCGACGTTAGCTCATTGAAGAGATTCGCTGAATGAGGCCGGAGGCAGGACACTTGCGGCGTCCATTGGCTGATAAGTCGCGACCTGTCGTTTGACACAGCGACACGATGACAGGGCTTCCTGGCCTTGCCTTTCCCATCTGTAAAACAAGCAGACACACTGTGTGACCAAGAAGATCATCACCAGCAGGAAAACTGTGAGTTGAGTTGCGGAGGGGTCCTGCACAGCAGGAAGCCATGAGCCCCAGATCAAGCCGCCACAAATATAGGTGTATTCATATGCCAGGAAGCAGCACAAGAAAGCTGCCGAGCGCGGCACTAGACCGTCGCCGAAGGACAGAGCGCACTTCAGCATCCTGAGCATGACTGGGTAGGTAAGCGGGAATGTCAATAGGATGATGAGTGCCCAACCCAATGTGTTGCACAAGAAATACATGGGCGTCGAGGTAAACCCCCCTGTCCGTGCAGATTCATCACAAGAACCGCTATCACAGCCAAGCACATTCACAGAGGAATACAAGATCATAGGTAGGCAGGTGGTCAGACACAGCGGCCACGCCACATGGACTTCGTCGCCGATCTGCGTCATGACAATGTCACGAAGGACACCTCGAACGTAGGCATTGAAGCGATCCAGCGGGTCCTCGTCCGCCTGGTAGCTCACAAAGCGCTGAACCTTCACCTCGCCTTCATCCACAGCAGAACCGAGAGTGGGCGACTCCTGGTCGCCAAAAATCTCCTGCAGTTGCTTCTCGATGGCATCCCGGTCTGAAGGCTCAGAGCAACTTGCCGCCCGGACGTCGAAGTCTGCCATTTGATCCAGGATAAGTTGGTGATGCCGAATCTTCATGCGGAAGGAGAAGAAGCTGGGTATAGAGGCCGGGAGCGTGGCGATTGAGGAAATCATCCAAATGACAAGCCATCCGACAAACCTCAGAATGATTGGGTTGTCTCCCACAAGTGTCGCAGCCAGCCCCATGACACCCTTGTCCCAAGCTAACATCCAATTCGGGAACACAAGCTGCGAAGCATCCATCAAGCTGGCACAAAGGAGTTCGAGGGAGATACTGCAGAGCAGCCAGGGAGCAAGCCAGAGAGGCAACACATCAACTTTCTCCACACCTCCATGCCGAGCAAAAGTAGCCAGCTCTAGGTTGCACCACAATCTCTCAAAGTAAGATCCGTCACAAAGGATGAGCATGCGGGAGGAGCGTGCAACGAAGGTGGGCACTGACTTGATTTGTTCGGCTTTCAGCTCCAGATCTGTCTGATGGATGCACAACCTGTCTATCCAAACAGACGGAGACCACAGCCCCAAAGAAAGCTGTTGCCCAAAAAAGAAGACAAGGAAAAACGTGGCCATCGGCAGGTACACAAAGCAGGGGAGAAGGAGTCGACTTCCCCCAAGACCGGCTGCACCATGCAAGGAGATCATCAGCGCCACGCTGAAGATCCAAGTCATCATGCAACATACGACAGCCATCTGCAGATTGAGATGCAAGCAGAGAGCTAGAAACTTCTCCCAGCGACCTGCGCTCCAGGAGTGACTAATGAAAAGGTCCACGGCGGTTGTCTCAACGGATGCCTCGAACAGACTATCACCGGCTTTCTGCATCTGCTCCCTAGTCGGAAATCGGACGCCGTGGTATCCGCCGGCCCTGAGCAATGTATGAAGGTCCTGATTGAATATCATTCCAAGGCCGATAAGGAGCTGTCGAGTTGTCGTGCTGCGCAACGAGCTAGCTGCTCCTTGTTCGACTTCATCGAAAGAGAGCGGACGCCGAAGGCGGTGTCCAGTAAGCGGCATTGCTCAACCCGTTAAAATGAATATGTCTGATTCCTGGGTTTGGGCACATGTGACTGCAACCGAACTCTTCGCAGTCGACTCTATTATGACGAATGTGAAAGTGGCGTCTACGATGACCATCTTACCTTTCCTCATCATGGTACTGCGCCGTGTACTACTGTCACCACGGCCACCAGAACCGACGCCCCACCACCACGACAAAACACCATACATTGTCAACACAATCAATGCTTTTGTAAAGGTTCATCTTACCATCCTCATGTAGTGCTTGGGTTCTAGTTGACAGGCTCGGCGAAGGTTGCCATAATAAGAGGAACACATACGGAACACTTCGATTCCAGACTATGGCAAAATAAGCCAACTTCCTTCAGCACCTAAAGCACAACCGATCAATACCTAAGAGCCTCTACAACCCCTTGTCAGGGTACTGTATAGTCTATAAGCCCAAAATAGGTTCCTTCACAAGATCTCGGGTGAACCTCGTGGACGGCCGGTTTCCCATCGCCTCTGAAACTTGCAGCTGTTCAGGTCCTGGCGGTACCGCTGCAGAGCCTCGACATCTGTTCAGGTTTTGGGGTGTTGCGGGTATTGTGTGTGTTTTAGCTTTAGGCTTTAGGCTTTGTTGCGGTGTAGTGTGTCGGGCTTGGAGCAGAGGGCTCCGGGCGTACCTCCGCCTAGCGCTTGAGGTAGAAGGGTACGGCACAAAGCGGCAGGTTACTATAGAATAGAGATCCTAACAAAAGACAAAAGAAAGATTTTAAATAGTTGAAACCACAGTGTCGGTAACCCTGAGCAATGAACGCTTTCACGATAAGGACGCCCATTGTCGGGGGTGTCAGGCTTGGCTTGGAGAGGTGCTTCGGGCTTGCAGCCTTCTTTGTCCTCGGAAGGGTCAGAGTCGGTACCTTCACTGTGAATTTGCACTACCAACAGCACTGCTCAAGAAATCAGTGGTGCAAGAAATCGAGCGCCTCGGGCGGCCCTGCGACAAAAACAAGCAGCAAATGCACACATTGAAACTGAGAACATCTAGGATACCCGGACCTCGGCATGCCAATTTCATAGTTTGCTCTTCTCGAGTTTGCTTCGCTTGTTTTCGTCGTGGTTCAAAAAAGCATCGATTCACGAACCAGAGGTTGGTTTGAGTATTTCCAATGTAATGTAGAAGCCTGAATAATTACCTGTACTGTGTTGGGGGTTCCTTCTTGTAAGTATAGTATTCGGTACTTTTCTAAGTTTTGCAGGCCCCATTAGTACACGCATGGAGAGGCACCTTTGTGCCTTGCCCACGGAGCTCCAGCTTTCTTAAGGGGGGTTTACGGTACAGGGTTTCGTAAGGAATGAAGCGATTTGAAACCACCTCCAATATGAGAAATCTTGCTTGCTTGTTTTTGATTGTCATTGACAGAGTCCTGTCTAGCCCTTGGGGGGCCCTATTTCTTAAAGTGAGGAGCTCACATCCTTATTTTGGTGGGTCCTGGGCGTGCCCAACAAGGGCCCCATTCGGCGCTAGCGACAGCTTCGAAGGGCTCTGGAGGCTGTATAAAGGCATGATACTCATCAAGTCTTTTCGAAAAACACATTTTCAAACAGGAATTTGAAGGCTCAATCCCTAACTTTTTTGGGGTGGGAGTTCTGGCAAGGGCTGAATACAGGCCCTACGAACAGTTGAGCATAGCTTAGATATTCGAAGAAATGTCATGGTCAAGCGCATAGCCTAATTTGGGAAAGTTTAAGGCTCGAATCTTTCATGTGCTCATTCTTGGGGATCCTGGTTTCCTTATTTTGGAGGACTTTGGCGCTGTATCATTGTTGGTTGTCCTTTCGCATTTATGACCTCGCACGAAGATGATGGTCAACAAGCAGATGATGCTGATGAATGACTGCTCTGGTTTTCCTTCTGAACTTACCGTAGCTGTGTTCGGAACCAGATTTTGCACCACCATAGGTACGCGAAACCACTTGCTTGGAGTAAGCAGAGTTGAAATGTAAACCGAATTGAAATTCCAACTCAAGTCTGGGATTCAGGTGAGCATCACAGAGCCAATCCCTCATCTAGGGCTTTGAGCTGTGGGAAAGGTTTGCCCTGAAGGTTCACGTGGTCGGAATTCAACTACATATGGGTGGTTGTCAAAATTGTGGTCCCTTTTTGGATCCCTAATATAGTACGGCACCTATTATTCAGGGTACCCAAAAAGGGCCCAAAATTTCGACAACCACCCATATGTTGAACCCTAAGCAAAGACGCAACTGAGAATCCCGGCCGTCACAGTAGCGGGAATTGCTCCCGCTCTGACAGCCAGGGTCTTGTTCACATCGCTGCCCTGCCTGAGTTTCTGGCAGATAGTTCTCAAGACTATCACATCCCCTCACAATTGAGCCATGATGTAGCCTCCTCAAGCCCCCTCTTTGAGATTTTGGTAAGGCCCTCAGAAACCCGAAACCCTAAACTCTAACCGTTCTGTTGGTAGTTGAGGATTTGGCGGTAAGGGGGCGGGCCCAGAAGCCGTGCACGTCTCGATTCGTGCGTGTCGTCCCTGTGATCGTACTTTGAGCCTAGGGTGTTGATGCACTTCTCGATTTCTGCGTCTAGGGCTTAGGCTGTTGGGTTATCAAGTGCGAGCATGCCGGGATGCCACACTGAAGTCCCAAAAACTCTACATATAAACGTAGGATAAGCCTCAGAGGCCTACGGCACTTACAACGAAGGCCTGCTTTAGCTAAAACACGAGGCACAAGAAAGACCCTCAGCAAAATCCAGGAACAAGCGAGTCAGTCAGAACTGACAAATACTCACGAAGGGTGCTTCTGCTATGTGCTGTGTACTGCGGAGCGCTCCATTTGAACTTTACAACCAAGCATCACGAAACCATGGGAAAACGAAAACGTGCACAGAAAAGCTGCAAGGCAAAACCACAATTGCTCAAGAAGGGTCATGCTAACCAAACTTACAAGGAGTTCCTTACTTTCTCTAGTTCTTAGGTATACTGCAGGATTACATTACTAAATTCTACCTCTACATTAGATGCAGCATGTACCCTCCGTCAGGCTTCAAGACGAGGCACGTGAACTGCTTGAGGACCGTCAGCGCGAGTCTTTGCAAATGCCTCTGTGTGAATGCGGTTTCTGACACGGCAGTCACGGCAACAACATTTTGCAGTAGGCCCAACGATACAAACCTGATGGAAGTAGACATGCGGCTCACGACTTCACAGATAGTCTACTGCGCTACGGTCTGCCCCGCTATGCATCACAATTATAGCTTCTGGCGTTGGGGCATCCTTCCGATAACTATGAGACCTCGTGTCGATCTCTGATCGCTAACGACCCAGCACCAGTGAGCTGCCCACCCCTGGCTTCCCCAGTTTTTCATACTTCAATCTCAAAGTTCGCGGCTACGTCACCCATTTTTCCACGAATCCTGCAAAACAAATAGGTACTAAGCATGAACCCTATCGTCCCTGATAATAACAGAACACACAACCTTCAAGAGCTAACTCAGAGTCACAACTGTAAGCAGTGAACCCTAGACCTAGACCCTGAAACCTAAACAGGTCCTACACCCTGATCATCGGGCCAATCCAGACCACAACGAGTGGCGCATGACAGGGCATATCCTTCATGGCCTGCACAACTGGACCTCAGAGAGCAAAGCTGGTCGAAGGGTTGCGATAAGGGCCTCTTTAACATCAGGATTCTATTTAAAGTTTACCAACAGGGTGCTTGTGATGAGGTCTGTCCCCCAAACTCAGCCACAACCTAACAAGGCCTGAAGATTCTGAACACATCGGAACCGTCTGGAAAAACGTGACAAGCGCCAGAGTTGCGCACCCCCAAACCAACAAGAACACCCAAGTGCCAAAAGACGTCGAAACCAACCCAAAAGGATCGAAACCTTCCTTGTCCGCGACCCCGTGAACTTTCGCTCGCGAGGTCGTCAATCAACCCCGTTGGATTAGGTCACTTGATGCTGGGACCCTTCACCCAGCACCCCGAATAGGCTGGCGGATTCTTGGGCATGGTAGCCTGCCCCAGCTTCAAGAGGAAGACACTTGACTTGACTGATCAGGAGTGTAGTCTGGGGGCCTGAAAAACCTGGAATAGGATTTCGAGCAAGTTACAGTGGAAGTATACTGGTGCGTCCGACGGAAAAGTATTTGGGGCCCCTCACTTCGTCTTTATTGCGACTCAAGTTCAGGCTTTTGGGTTTCTTGACACTCATTCTCGTATGAATCCGGTCTTGACACTCAGCCTTGGACTATCTCAAGACGATATTGGATGCACTATCTCTCAACTCCGAGGTTGGTCCAACTAGTGAGTGACGCTGTCAAATGGGCTCTCACACTGCGCACAGGGTATGTATCAACCTGATATCCGAAACCAGACTGAATGGAGAGATTAGGGTTTAGGGTAGAAATCATGGCAATCTGGCTATGACTGCTTCCATTCGCAGCCGAGAGCAGCAGCAAAACCCAGGTATCTTATTAGGTGCTTTCCGGGAGCCATGCCTATGCCGCTGCACTTGGCCAACCTCTGGATGCCATCCTGCGTGCGGG